GCTCCTGCGACAGCCTCTCCCGGCACAGGCTTCTACCAGTTCTTCCGCCACCATCAAACAGCAGCACAAGAGGGAGGAAGCGGGTCCTTCGTGGGGCCGCTGCCGGTACTGTACCTTCCATCTTGCTTCTAGGAGCCTCCATTTCATGCCATGGTGCTTCGAGGAGCGTACGCAGCCTTACACCACCACAGCATGGACTGAACTGGAGGCATCTAAAAGCATCAACAAAGAGTGCTAACAAGATACAGGCTGACAGCTCAGAAACGTTGCCATCTCACCCCCTCATCATCATCAAACCAAGGACTCCGCAGCCAAACGGGTGTGCTGCCCCGGGGAGCAGCGGGCTGGCCCTCTCCTCCCAAAGTGGCTGCTTCCAGCCTAGCGCAGAGCACCCACCTGCAGTCAGGCCGATGGCTGCTTAGCCACATCTACTGTGCATCCCTCTAAATGCATCTAACCCTGCATCCCTCTAAAAAAATCCCAAACAGGAGGGGAGGAAGAAACCCCCGTGCCCGGCTTGTCATCCCCCAAAATCCCAGCCTGACACTCGGTCTCTTAAATCATCCAGCTACAAAGACAGCTCCTGCTGAGGGACTGAGCGCAACCGCCCCGAAGCCGGTATTTGCTGCTGGCATGCCATGTGCACAAGAACGAGACAAAACCCCAGCCTCTCCCTGCACCTTCAGCCTTGCTCCCAGCGACCCACACAGCAGCCTGCTGCAAGCTGGTGAGAACTGGACCCCGCTGAGCATTGTGCAACTTGCTGCCTCCCTCCCCGCTGCCCAGCTCAGCCCAGCTCGCACACCTAACCTCTACGAGAAGCCTGACTCTACAGCTTTTTTTAAAGTATTTTTCCGGTTTCCGGTCGCACACCTAACCTCTGCGAGAAGCCTGACTCTACAGCTTTTTTTAAGTATTTTTCCGGTTTTCTTTATGGGAGTATTGATCCTTTTCCCACGCAAGGAGAGTTAGCAGCCCTTCCTCTGCGCTTCTGGCTTGCTTGCTTGTTGCTGCTGTCCGGTGAAAGCACAAATCCTGCTGCATGCTCTCCAGTGGGTCCGCAGAGCCGCAGCCACACCCGAGTCCCACTGCAGGGACGCATTCGGTGAACGAAGTTTTCAAGGTGCCAGTTCAGGAAACAAAAACTAAGTTTCCTTTCACGGAGCCAGCCAAGCAAGAGAGACAGAATATCTATCTGCAGAGCAGCACGGCGATTCCTTGCCAGCAGCCAAGCTGCATCCCTCCTACCAGGCAACTGTCCTAAACCCACGAAGAAGCATAAGGAAGATAGGGTGCGTGCGAGTGGAAAATCCAACTTTGCTCACATCTATTTCTAAGCACTGATATAGTTTGTTTATAACCAGGCTAACTGCAGGGCTCCCACTGCGTGCAGAGGGCTGGTAACGACATTCTTAGCAGCCACAGCTATAAAAGTTATCAAACGCAGGTGAGTGGCTCCTTGCCCTCACATCGCATGCTCGAGCGCCAGTTCGAATCAAGGCCGGTTCGATGCTGCTCGAGAAACCAGAGCAGTAAAACACCTCACTGCATCCCTGATGTAATGAAAAGACTGCGTACAGACGAGCTGTTCAAAACCTCCTGCATAAACAGAAACTCTGTTCTCAAACTGATCGCACTTGCTTTTCAAGAGAGCAAATCCCGCCCGTGACTTTGAAGCACAAAGTAAAAATCTTTTTAATGAAAAGGAGTTTTGACTCGCACAGCCACCAGCCCCCGGGGCCTGCCGGGCTCAGCCCCAGCAGGGACTGGTACTCACCAGGATGCTGCCAGAAGACACAGAGGAATCGAGGGGGTTATTTATCACAGCAAGCCTGCAAGTACCTGCTCCCCCTGAAGAGGAACGCCGTGACCTGGAGCACTTTCACGTGGGCTGACTACGCTGCCGACATGCTACACCAACTCTTCCAGGTAGCACAGGCAAGGGTTCACTTCTACTCAAATGTTTGACTCTAAACATCTTATTATTTTGCTGAAGGTATTTCGAGAATCCCAGAAAGCGTTAGAGGGATGATACAAGGAGGTTTGCAAACAAGTAAATGTCTGATAACGCTCTCCAAGAAACAGGGCTTCAACTCCCAGCAGCCAGGGAGGGGAAACCCCACCAAGTAACCACCCAGTGTCTGCCCAGGCCCAGCTCCAGCGTCCTGAAACCCGGAGTCAAAAGCGTGTGGGGAGATGTAGAGGTCCAAGAGGATTTGCCACGGATCGCATAGACGCAAGCTTAACGGACTAACGGACTAGCTGCATCCAGTCTCTTCCCTACCACCATCCCTGGGCCAGGGCAGGGTCTGGCAGCCCGGGGAAAGGCAAACCCTGCAACCTGCAAGCTCTAACCCAGCTCTGCTCATCCAGTCCTATTTGTCATTCTGTCAAATTCAATGCGGGTCACCGGCACGCGCCCACCAGCAGGACAGAGCCGCGCAAAGTCCAGCAGGTCAGGCTGAAACCGCCAAGGACAGGTTTAAACTCAATCACCAGACTTTGCGCCAAAGCACAGGTTTCCTCGTTCATTCACCAAACTGCCAGCAGATTAAAAGTCTCCGGCAGACGAGGGCAGCAGCGTGTGGGGACGTCTCCACCACTCCAGCTCGATTCATGCCGCTTGCATCTCCCACATTCCCTCAGCTGACGAGCAGGCAGCTCCGAAAACCTTTTCCCTGCACCATGCACAAAGGTGCCATCCTCTGCTGCTCTCCCGCTGCAAAGGTCTCATGCAGAGCAGACGATTTCCATCGACCCCCTGCACCTGGGATCCTGTACATTTAAGAAGTAACAACTCCGTACCAGGGAACCTCTCCAACCAGACAGCACGGGCCACCCCTCTTCAAATATAAGTCCTGGAAACACGTCTGTGCATTGAAGGAGAATCCCGGTCTAATTCTCCGAAGCCACATTTTGGTCACCCTGGCAGCCGTCACAGAGCTAGAAGATGAAATCAGATCACGGGAAAGTGGATAGTTTTTTAATGGCTTGAAATAAAATTAAACTCAATGTGCTTACGGTAAGAAAACAATTTAGCCTGGGCAGTTCCAGGAGCCACGCTGCCGAGCAGCGCATCCCGCCAGGCACGCTCGCCCCAAGCACAGGGACACCTGATCTGCATACGCAGCACCTTCCTGCTCCTCGTTAGGCTCCGGAGCTGCTGTTCAAAGCAGGCTTGTTAAATCCCGTTCCGCCAGGCCTGGCTTCTCCGCATGCCTCAGCTCAGCAGGCAGCTCCTGGCCGCATCCAGCCGTGCCGCAAAGCGAGGCACAAAGATGCTCGAGGGGGTCACACCTCAGCCAGTGCCACTGGGCACTGTCTTTTAAGTACAAGCGACGCACAAGGGTTGTACGTGGTAGAGGGCTGCTCCGTGCGTACGTGCAGAGGGAGCCACAATTAGAATGGGAACATTTTCATTAATATTACTCGGCTGCTGCAGGTTGTCAGCATGAGCCTGTGATTTGCAAAAATTGATTACCAAGTTCAACTGAAACCCCCTAAACTCCTATTAATTCTGCAGTTGCAGAAATTTCCTCCTCCACAGAACATTTAACATTAAAAAGCATGTGATCAACAAGATAAAAATAAATTGGAAAGCGACTGCCGCGTTCTCGCTCGCTGTGGTGAGGCAGCGAGGGCCGGCGGAGGCAGCCGAGGACTCGGGCTCGCACGTGCTTCCCTGTGGGAAGGCGGCATCGCCCGGCGCTGCCCAGGTCCCTGGCGCTGGAGGATCGCATCTACTCCTGCTCACACGCTGCGTGACCACAGCACTTCGCTCCTCGGTGCCTCCTTCTGCCCAGCAGCAAAGGGATTTCTCCCTCCAGTGCCGGGGCCTCGCTCACCCGTTCCCCCGAGGCCTCCCCGGTGGAAGGCAGCAGAGAAACGCAGTACTATCCCCTTTGCAATTAGATGCTTGTCTGCCGGCTGCCGCAGCGCAGAGGTTAATCCGACTTCTTTAGGCGTTCGGGGGGGAAGTAGGTCGCCCGCTGCACTTCCTGCGCCGGTTGCATAAGGAGCGGGGCAGGGCTGGGCTGTCCCCGGCATCCGATGGCTCCCAGCAGCGGCACCCGGGTGCAGGCAGCGTGGCAGCCCCAGGCTCCCTGCGCGGCATGACGTTCGGGCAGAAGCGAAGCCTCTAAGAGGATCTGAAACATGAGCAGGAAGGATGGAGAAGGAGCTGCTCCCAGCAGATGCGCGCTGTGCCGTGCCACCAGCAGCTCTGCTTTCCATCCTCAGCAGAAGCAGCCGGCAGGGTCCTGCTCAGCCTGGCGTGAGTGGAGTGCCGGGAAGGCTCTGTGCTGGCTTTCCCGGCCCTGGCCCGTCCCAGGCTAACAGAGCTGCAAATGCGTTTTATTTCAGTCTGGAAGACTTTAGTCAGAATCCTATTTTCAGCAGATTTAGAAGGGGCACCTGCACAAAGATCTCCGCTCAGCAGCTTCAAGTGCCACTGGCTCCTGCAGGCTGCTCCTTCTCCTCTAATTAAATGCTTTTCTGTAACACCTTGCAGCAACATGGAGCAAATCAAGAGAAATGCTCACAGTGGGTATATACCTCAGCAAACAGGAATAAAGGTTATTTTACACTAAAACCCCTTTAGCAAGGCTGTACACATGCCAGTCCCTGCATGGAAGCACAAAAACCAGAGGTACAAGGGGGTGTGCAGGCAAGGAGCCCCCCGCCACGGTTATCTCACTGCAGATCACCAGAGATGGTGGCTGGATCAGTGCACGCTGATCCCAG